CTTATCCGTCCCCAAGTCCCGGCATCTACCTCCTCCGTGAACCCTGCCTGGACTTGTTATAATGCTCTGGGCAAACATTAACTCATCAATTTTAATGTCGGTACATTGCTAATCCAGTTGCAACCAACTATCTCGATCGGGATCTGAAATGAACTTGCTCCATTTAGCGCACTGGGGCAGGCATCACAGGGCATGGAGAAGTGTAGCCTGTAGAGCAGTGGTTCTCAACCTTCTGGCCCTTTAAATACAGTTCCTCATGTGGTGACCCAACCATAAAATTATTTTTGTTGCTACTTCATAACTGTAATGTTGCTACTGTGATGAACCGTCATGTAAATATCTGATATGCAGGATGGTCTTAGGCGACCCCTGTGAAAGGGTCGTTCGACCGCCAAAGGGGTCGCGAGCCACAGGTTGAGAACCACTGTTAGAGGTTTCAAAGGATTGTTGATTCTTCCTTCCTGTGGTCAGGAATTCACTTAAATGATTCTCTTTTTTTAATGTTTTTATTGATTTTTAGAGAGAGGGGAAGGGAGAGGGAGAGAGAGATAGGAACATCAATGATGAGAGAGTGAAATGATTCTTATTGATTCCTATATTTTGAGCATTTCATAGAGAACTATTCCAGTACTTTACAGTGCCTTCTCTCATAAAGGTCTGTCCTCCTGAATATGTAATTATTAGATCATATAGAAGGCCACACAACGATGCAAAGAGCAGAGACTCTGCAGCCAGGTGGCCTGTGCTCAAAACTGGCCCGGCCATTCGCTTGCTGTGTTACCTCAGGCAAGTGACTTAACCTCTCTGTGCCAGTCTTTCCTCACCCACTCCCCGGGATTACTAGTTCTTCATAAAATTGTTATAAGAGTTGAAAAGTTAAGTAAGCCTTTAGAGCAGTGTCTGGCATGCAATAAGCATTTATAAGTGTCTGTTAGTGTCGTTATTATTACTATTTATGAATACAGTCCCCCCCAATCAGTTTAAAATAACTAGAATCACAATCATTGATAGTTATAAACAATATTTTTCTACTAGAATAAAGGGGGACTGTAAGTCTCCAGAACTCTACAGGCATTAGATACACGATTATGTCAGAAAGTGAGACTTAATAAATGAAACCATTTTTTAAAGTTACCAAATAGTATTTTCTCATTTCTATTGAAATAAATGATATGTGCCATGCACACACCTACACATAGAAGGAAGACATTCTAACAACACGTAGCCAAACACAGCTGTGGTTTTCTCTAGTGGGGGGATGATATTTTCTTATTTTCCCGAGAACGTGTACTACTTATTCAAAAAGAAAATGAGAAGATCTATACCAGTGGTTCTCAACCTGTGGGTCGCCAACCTGTGGGTCTCGACCCCTTTGGGGGTCGAACGACCCTTTCACAGGGGTCACCTAAGACCATCGGAAAACACATATATAATTACATATTGTTTTTGTGATTAATCACTATGCTTTCATTATGTTCAATTTGTAACAATGAAAATACATCCTGCATATCAGATATTTACATGACGATTCCTAACAGTAGCAACATTACAGTTATGAAGTAGCAACAAAAATAATTTTCTGGTTGGGTCACAACATGAGGAACTGTATTAAAGGGTCGCGGCATTAGGAAGGTTGAGAACCACTGGTCTATACCAACATGTTCCTCTCTAGTTCTGAGAAGGGTGATTTTTATTTCCTTATTTGTTTTCCTGTATTTTCAAACTGTTCTGCAGTGAACATTCTAGAAATATTATAGTCAGAACAAGGGGAGTCAAACCCACAGTTGTGTGTTTATTTGAATCCGAGGTGCTGGTCCTATGGGGAAAGGCAGGGGGAGGGAGGCTGTGCTAACAAAACCACAGCCACCGGCAGGCACCCTGCGGTCCAGGCCGTGGCCACAGCCTCGCCTACCTTGCTCTCCATGTGCCGCTTTATGACTTCCTGCACCAGCACGTCGGCCAGCGTCTTGAAGTCCACGGCGAACTTCTTGTTCTTCTCGCCGCCCTTCTTCTCCTCGATGAGCAGCTGGAAGAGGGCGTCCTGCTGCCGGCAGGCGCGGGCGATGTGGGCCGCCTTCTCGGAGACGCGGAGCAGCTCCTGCAGGATCTGGG